AGGAGTCAGATGGCTGAAGGACCAATTTAAGACGAAGTTGTTACATGTAATGGATCCTTTGGTTCCCATTACCGTGAATGAAACATAGGAACCACATTCCGACGGCCTGCAATTCGAATCCAGCCAGAATTAGTAGAGATAGTTTGTATTCCACAGTAACCAGCTAGAAGGGGGAGATACTTTCCACCATCTCTGAATGTTGAATGATATAGGCTGCCGTGTTTATTGTCTCTTGAGATCGTTTAAAGCCGTTATATCAATACACTAATTATTTAACGTCGTATGAAAAGCGCGGATTTAAAGCAGTAAATTAAATGGACGAGACAGAAATAAGTTATGACGTATTTAAAGCTAATAATGGAAGCAATGCCGAAAACTGCTGAAGAGAGAGTCTCCTGCAGGCGATTTAAAATTACAGGGTTCATGGATGCCACGAAGAGGGGGTAAAAAAATTAATATTTTTAGAATTAATAATGACATTCAGTATAATTCTACCTGCTGCTTTGTACGGGTGTAAATTTTTTTCCCCACATAAAATGAAGCACTTAAATTGAGAGCAATCCTTGTGCTTGTGTTTTCACGGCTAGACATTAAAAAATAAATCCTCGAACGCCGAAGTTTGGTTTAAAGTTTTTCAATGTTTCGGCAAACAACATTCCACTTTATAACAATACATAATCTGAGCTACTGACAGAGTAGTTAAATAAAGAACAAAAAGAAAAGCAAAAATGTAAAGCAGTCCCGCTACACGCCACGTAGGCTCTTGGGGGGAGAGGTGGAATAGTTCCTACTCATTCTTAACCTCGGCACTAGGTGGGGTGAGTGGTCAGCGTCACGCCCCGGCCGCGCTTTACCTCCGGGAAAGGACACTGTATAGGATACTGGGTGGGCCCCAGATCCGGGCCAGACGCAGAGGACAGAGGAAAAATCCCCTGCCCTGTCAGGGATCGAACCCCCGGTCGTTAAGTCAGAAGTCAGTCACCAACTGAGCTACTCCGGCTATTCAAATAGAGTACAATTAAATACACAGATAAATAAAAGTTTGTCACTCGTATACCTAAATACGTGACAAACATACACTCTTATCATCTCTTTTCAAAGCCATGTGGTCGCTAAAACTATCATAGCCCCTTCTCCTAACCATTCGGTCACTGAAACCGTTCTTGTAACCTCTTTTCCAGACCACGTCGCCACTAAAACTTCTTTCGTCACTTATTTTTAATCACGTGGCAACTCCCCATTGGGTAGCACCCCGCCCCTCAGCTTTCCCAGTCACGTCAGTCTCTCCGCTCAACACCAATCGACAGAATTTTTTTAAGGACTCCCTAACCCTCCACAGGCATTTACCATGAAAATGGGAACAACAATATATGCCGAAAAGCTTAAATCCATTAAAAAATCATGGCTTATTCCCGAAAGCCGAAGTTACAGCCTTAAATAAATCGAGTGTGTTTGAAAATACGATGAAAAGAATATTTGGATCTAAGAGGTTGCAACAGGAAGCTGGAGAATATTTCATGGTGAAAAGCTGTATTTGAATTCAACATCAAACATAATTATGGTTTCATCCTAATAATGCAGCCGTCACAGAGTCCGCGCGCGGTCTGAGGCGTGGGCCTTGTGCCGCTTGGTCACTGGGATCATGGGTTCGAATCACACTCAAGCCAAGGATGTTTGTCCGCGTCTTTCTGTGTAATGCTGTCCTGTGTACAGGTAGAGGCCTTGCGACGGGCTGATCACGTCCAAGGAGTCCTACCGAATGTCTAATAGATTAAGCCAACGAAATGTTGGGACCCGCAGATGCTCAAGGCACTGAAGAACGGGTCGTTCAAGTATCCTAATAATGCAACCGTTAAGTGCCTCTGAAACGTCGGTCAACATTTATCAGACTCTAAGATGGAATACTCTAGAAGGCAGCTATTTTCGGTCTAAATTACAAATGAATTCATATCTTGTTGTTTTTAAACAAAGTTAAAATGTTTTTGGAAACGTTTTGTTACATAGAACTTTAAATTTTTGTGACGTATTTACAGCCTTTTTTGTTACTCCATTTCTGTTTATATTTCTCTATGCAAGCCATTTATTCTCCATTCGGAAGTTAAATCCACAATCACAGGAACCAATGACTATATTTTATCTTTATCGTCATTAGCATCATCACCTCTTATGAATTAGATATTGTTGCCCGTACCAATTTAGATTTGCCCCTGAAATTATTAATCAGTTTAGATATTTAGTAGGATTCTTTAGACAGGTGGTTAGCCCGTCTCAAGGCCTCTTCCTTCATAGGACAGCAACGTATAGAAAAACGAATACAAACATCCATAACATGAGCGGGATTCGAACCCGCTATCCCAGTTTCTAAGCGACCAAGACCCACACGTCAGATCTCACATGCACTGAGATCATCTGTTTTACTTTAGGTCAATGTTGTGTTCTTAGATGGCTATCTTCTGGGTTGTAACGCCGTGTAGCGTGGTAGAAGTATACCAAAAGTTTCAGAGGTTTTTGCTTACTCCGGTATCAGGGTATCTTTTGATTCATTCGCAGTGTAAATTACTAAATGTTATGGTGGACGATTCTGGCAACGTGGTCGGACTAGTACACAAGACCGAACCAAAATATACAATAAGAAATATACAGTTATAGTGGGCTGCAAACACATTTCATATAGGGTAGAGCTCAATTTGAATTATTGACAATTAGTACATACACAAAAACTTGGTCATACTACATTCTCACAGATTTTGAGCAGTTCAGATGACTTTGTGTTTTAAATGTTATTCTATACAATCTTATGTTAAGTACCTGTTAGTATTTTAACGCAGTCTTACCGTTTTTCAATGTAAATAGCCAATAATTTATATTAATTTTATAGTAGTTAGATGGAGTACGAATAAAGGTCAAAACAGAATTCTCGAGCTGTAAATTTTCCACGATTAAGAAAATGTATTAGCTGTGTTTCCGTAGCGATTTCATCCTGCGGTCTAGTGACAAGACAAGACCATACACTAATAAAGTATTTTGTTTTCCCTTCTTACCTACTAGTATCAAAAATAAATAAGTTTGTGTTTTCGCTATAATATTTATGTTTCCACCAAATAAATTAACGCCATCGGTATACACCAGAAACTGATGTGACCTACTTTAAAATTCCAACAGCTGATTTGTCCCATTCAGCTCCACTCCCCATTATGGTGCTGTACTCTAAGCAAATGAATTTCGAGAGTTCACTTAGAGTGCTGGAGTACTGAGATGCTAGCCCAACGTTTCCTTAATGTTACGTTTAATTAAGTCAATACTAGTTTCGTAATTTTTATACTAAATTTTATTCATTATCCGCAGTGTTTTGATGGGGAGTAAACCTAAACTGCATATCTCTTATGACAGAAACATCTATCTAAGATTTTATCACACAAACTGATTTTGTATCTGAGAAATTCGCCTTGGCAATAATTGCTAATGTGTAAATTTAGCACAACGTAATTTTTATTATTTTGTGATAAATCATTAAGACAGTTACATCAGGTTAAACCTGAAGGCGTGGTTAGCGAGGTGAACGTTAAAAATAATTACGAAAGCGTACGAAAATAGAGATCATATTTTTCGGAATTAATGATTTTACAGCGCCTGAATTTCATGAAGTTATCTGGAGCTACTGGCCATTTTTGGTAATTTGAGTACGCAATTTGTTTCCCACGCTTAGGAGACGTGAATCAGCAATGGTAATCTCCGATTGTGGGACAGAAACATTCTCTGAAGCACGAGAAACAAAACTCCTCACCGCTGATCGCCCGAGAAGACTTCAGCGGTTATATTTATTTCTGAGCATTTTCTACATCGACATGGCTCTCTCTAGCTGTGAAAAATGAAACATCGCCGAGTAACTAGGTATCATTTATTTTAACTATAATAAACCAACTCCTTTTTAACATGATTGCATAGACTTGATCCGTGTGTCCACATATTTCCTTCGATTTTTAACTATGTGTAATTTATCATAAGGAGGAAACACTTTGCACCAAAGACAACAGCTCGAAAAATCATAGAGATTGACTATCTAGTTCAGTGGTCCCCAACCTTTTTGTGCCTACGGGCACATTTGAGAATTTATGAGATCGTGGCGGGCACCAACCAATTAACAAAGCCAAATTTTCTTTTCTCTGGACAAATAAGATATGGACACCAAATAATACACAAAACAACACGACGTTTAATGATACAAGAAACCACGCAATCAAAAATACGTACTTTTATAACTACAATTATTATTACTCAAGTGGGAAGTTAGTGTGATGTTTGGCACTGCATTTCATCGGCCAGTTTTTCAAATTTGCGAGTGTAGGATGATGTTGCTGCTCGCAAACAATCGTCAAGATGGGAATCAGTAAGTCGAGATCTGCGCTTTGATTTTATATTGTTCATGGTTGAACGACCTTCATTATTTAGTGTAACCTTTTTCCGTAACAACGTGGGTACCCAAAAAGGCCTTGGCGGGCGCCATGGTGCCCGCGGGAACCGCGTTGAGAACCACTGATATAGTTCTTTACAGTTTTTTCGGAATCAGAAATTCAAAACCTCCCGGTTTTCCGACTGCTCTACTCAGACCTCAATTTTACCCTCTCGTACCCTAATTCTGGGGTTTGTTTCTATTATCGTAACCGATTTTTCTTAACCACACGTTTTTCTGTAAATATCCCAATTTGTAATCACCCTATACAGAAATATTTTAGGATGTGAATCAGTATTGTAGGAACCGAATATCATCCCCCGTTCGCTTTCTGACATGCTTTCATAATAGCCGTTTCATGCATTTTTTATTAACGCCGGCATGCACAATGACATTTATTTCAAGGCTTTTGAATAATAATAAAATTTTCGATTTTGAAAGAGCTGCTTCAAACCGTGGTTGCTGCCGATTAAGCATGCTAATCACTAGGATCTCATTTAAATACTACTGTCATAAATCCCACTTAACATGCATAGGACTTGAGACTTACGTAATGGAATACAGCCAGTGTAATAAAAATGTAATGCAAGTTAAAGGGCAAAACAGTCAGATGGTTGTTGCGGTAACAAATCGAATTTCACTGCAGTAAATAAGCATGTGGCATGCAAAGTAGCATGGAGTTGTAATGCGTATAACTTAACTTGGCTCCACATCTGATACATGAACACGAATCACTGTCACTTTTCTTCCGTCTGTCCGTCATTTCAACTTATCTTGTGTAACTAATACTGGCCCTACGTTGCGTGCACAGTAACAGATAGTGAACCCAGTGTAAACATATTAAGAATTCCTTTCGTTTCTGCCTGAGTCACAGTACCAACCTGACGGAGTGACTAGCGATTAGAAGAGACGTTTCTGTGAAACGGATGGTCGCTCATCTAGTCAAGAAAGTCACTCCTTTTACGAAACAAAAGGTTTATTACCATGTTCACAAGAACTCGTCACTTCAGTCTATAATAAAACAATCGAATTCAGTTAACAACCTCATATATCTGTAAGATCCAGTTCATTTTAGTATATTCCATCTATTATTAGGTTTCCAAAATAATCGCTTTCCTTCAGGTTTTCCGACAGACACTTTGTATCATTTTTCGTTTCGTTCTTCTGTGCTACATGTCTCTACTGCCCATATGCATTTCTTCGACAACCCTAATGTTATGAGGATGGACTGTACTTGTATGTTTTGATTTGACATATTTAGTTAGGAGACGGAAGGTGAACCGAGTGGCATCGACTTTCTCGGAGTTGTGGTAAAATAACAAATGTAAAATATGAGGTGAGAAGTCTATATACGAGTATAGTATCCCTCTAAATTACGGTAATGAAATTCAGCGCAGCGCTACATCATGAGGCAGGAAGGAAAACGTCGAGCCGTAGAGTGAGATGGTTAGTAACATTTATACACTTAACCATGAGTAGGATCGTAGGGCATTCAGTAAGGTGTTGTATGTTGGTGGACCTGTTCAGCGTCCTTTACGCTTTATTAGAACCACGGCGCGCAGATGAGGATGTCCTAATCTATTCACGAGAGAACGCAGTCAGGTAAACCAATCTCGGACGGCGCTCGAAACACACTCAGAGCTAATATGAAGAAGAAATAAGTTGCGTCCTGGATTTAAGGACCATATCATGACATAGAAGTAAATCGCCACGCATTTTGATCTCTGAACTTTATGCAGTTTTACCGCTTGTTACAGCGTCACCAGTACTCTTTATAAGAGGCTAGGTGGGCCTCAGAGCCGATCTGAACGTGACGGCACAGTGAGAAATCAATTCCGTAACGGAATTAGAACACCGGACGTCTAGCCAGGATCAGGTAAATTTTCATACTGAGCTGCCAGGACACGAAGAGCTAACAGGCCTATGTGATGATCATTTATTGTCATCGTTGTCTTCACAAGCAAACAAGTTTGGAAAAAGTACCAGAATTATTTGCAACGTGAATTTGTAGATATTATATCCGCCTTGTCCCTGGAAATAAAAGTACAAATTTTGATATTTTAAAATGTTTTAAACTATATAGGGATTAGCTCTATCTAGTGGGCCCAACTGAGTAGGAACCTGAAGACGGAGATAGAGCCTCATCTCCGAAACGTCGTTTTACGTTTTATTACTAGACGATGGATAATATCCAAGTAAATTTGTATTCAATTGACTCTTCACCATCGTCAAGAAGTTTTAGATTTGATATATCTAAATTTTCATAACCTGTAAACACCCAAAATTTTAAAATTTTCATAATTTTTAGAAATTTCAAAATCCATGTTTAATAATTTCATAATTCCCACATTCCAAACTCCAACATCTATAAATCATATTTAAATATCTTTCCCAACTTAAACTTTCTTATCCAAAACTAAACAATCCTAACCTAACATAAAATGTCTTAACTTAAACTAACAGACCTGACTTGACCTAACCTAAGTTAACATAACAGAAACAGACTATCTCAACATATACAAAGGCTTCGGCTGATTCCCGCTTACATCTGTACGAACCACGATTACTATAGTAACCACGGTAAACATTCAAAGAACGCATTGGTTGTCAATGGTAACCATAGTAAAGAAACAAATTTTCACCATGGCCACCAGATCGCAACACCTCATTGTACAACTCATGACTTTCATTATCCATCATTTTGTTGTCGTAGCTCGTAGTATATTCAAAAGTACGATTTCGAGTTCCCGCAGAATGGAACAACGTCCATACCAAATTTTATCCCAATCCATCCCGTGCTTTTCAAGCTGAATCAACTGGATAGACGGACGGAAGAGACACAACCAGCTCATAATGCTTTATAGCTATGAACTTCGCGTAAAGAACGTATAAAACTGTGCGAAGCAGATTTATCAATAAAACGCATTTTTGAAAACTCGGTTTGTATCGGAATTATTTCAACACAGAGAGAAGTGAAGAACTTGTAAATTGTGTACAGTAATAAATTCATATGATAGCGAGGGCTGTGTCAACAAAAGAAGCTTTGTTCGCGAAAACTGGTCACAACCACGACTGGTAACAACGTGATTTATTGTGAATTTCTGCTCGCATTCGTTTCGAAAGACGATCACAAATAACAATGAATTATATAACAGCAATTTGTAGCTCCATTCTCGTGTGGGATAGAGTCCAATTTATTGTATTCTGAAAGCAGTGTTCCCATCTTTTGACGCTCTCCAAACATAATGGAAAACGTCAGTGTATTCATTCTGTCCATCGGTTCACAAGTACTGAACTCCCATACAAAGAAGCAAACACAACATGTATGCTAGAGTTACGTATTGCTATCAATCCAGTCGAATAACTAATAGACTAAACACAAAATTGCATAAAAGCATTATTTTTCATGTGCTGTCCAAAACGAGATACCAAGCGACAGAGCCACAAGCCTGTAAGAAAATACTACGAATCTGTTTAAAATGAACGACTCTTATTTTGCTTTACCAGATGCCAACGGAAAAAGAACTTACATTTTTAAGAAGTGCCAAAGAATATATTCGTTTGGATATTATAGGGAATTAAGCTACTGGAGATGATTTATGAAGATATAAGCTTATTTGTTACAAAGGGGCAAAATCTAATTACACAGACACAAGTGGAGAGAATATGCAGATACAATGCCATAAGAAATATTACAAATATTTTTAACTGCCGTACGCTAGGATCTCGTGATACCGAGTAACATTGGACTGAAGACGGACCAGACTTGTAAGCCAATCGTTGCAAGGCAGAAGAAGAAGAAAAATAAAAGGTGAAGACGGTTGATGACGGAGGCAACAAGGACCTCTGAAACGTCGGTAAACTTTTACCACACTACACGGCGCAACAACCCAGAAGACAGCCATCTTCAGACTCACCGCCGCGGAAACCTCAAATCATAAAAGAATTAATAAAAGGTATTTCTATGTTGCTGGTGAAGGAGAGGCCTTCCAACAAGGAAGGTAATTGAGAATATGTTTCGTAAGCAAATTATCAACAGTCGTCTATGAGATTTTACATTCTCACGACGGCGAATATGAAGATAGCTTTGGGTTGTTGCGCCATTAAGTCTGGTGTTTCCATAACTCCATCATCAGGGCAATAATTGTCTTGATGACGGAAGGGGTAAAACGAAATTGAGGGAGGGACAGGTTCAGAGCGTGTTCTGTTGTCTGCAATCCCTCAACATACTTTTTCGTTGTAGGTGCAGTATGAGCGAGGTGCTTCTGTCACATTGGACCAAACACCGCTTCGCAAAGAGTTGTTTGGTCTTTGATTACTTGCCATGCTGTGGTAGTAGAAAGAGCACGAAGCAGCACTTTTCTGACATTTCTGGTCGTATGTGCTTGAATGCTGCAGCCATATTTGCGTGGTGTCCTTTAGGGCGTGGCGTGGCTCCACATTACGTGAAAATGGGCGCACGTGCCCTCGACCTGCTGGCCGGCGTCTTGACGCGCTATTGAGTCAATACACGGACAGTCATGACGTTGGCCAGACATCACAAAAATAGAATACATTGCGCTGGGAGAGAAGTTCTTGCAGATATAATTGGTTCTTTGAACTGCGAGGCGCGCATCAGTTTGCTTATCTACTGAGGCATTCTTTTAAGAACAAAACACAAGCCAAGTTCAAGAGAGCGCAGTCTGCCCTGGGCTTAATTTCTCCTCCAGTTATAAACGATAAAACAAATTGTATTCATAATAAATGTATTGGTCCATGTTGATGTTCTTCGGGGTTTTGGCGCCGGAGGATTGGAACATTTCAGAGAAACATACTGACTACATCAGCACCCCAGAAGACCGACACGTCTACACATGTGACAGTGATGAGGACTACTTCTTAACCTTCGGTCCTTTAACAGAAAAGAGGATTACATGCTTCTTTCTCAAAATCCGGAAGAATTAATGTTTCACCAACTGACTCATCGAATATGACTGTTTTCTGTTATGTTGCGCCTTGCAGTGTCGTAGGAATTCACCGACGTTTCAGAGGTACTTATGCCTCCATCGTCAGGGCGATGATAATGCAGGAAATAAGCACTTCTGAAACATCGGTCGATTTCTACCAAACTACACAACGCAACATCCTAGAAGACAGTAATCGTCATACTCCCCAACTGAAATCTTACGAATCATTGATTATTTTCTTCTTTCAGGGATACAATTTCTCGTGTTAATCGCTAACACTTCTCCCTGTAAAAGCACCGGGCCAACTTTATTTTATTCTCTTTTCCGGTGTTTAACGGTGTTGCCGTCTAGTGGCGAGGATGACAACTTTTAAAGTCGGTCGCTGCATCAATCAGAAAATGAGAGGGGGAGAGATATTACAAATCCAAGATATTTGGAAGACTTATATCCGTCAACTGGAATGATTTCAATGAATTTCGTGTATAAATTTTTAATTGTAGAATTAACGTGTTTTTAAACAGATTACCCGCAGAAGCGTTACAGTTTAAACATATATAAGCATGATTGGTTATGTGGGCTATTAGACCATTTGTAGTACTGCGGAATGTAGAGCTGAAAGATATGATCTTCAAAAGGACCACCTGCTATATCAACTTCACTTGAATATGAAAGTCTCGAGATCCTCTGACCTAGACGAACGTTAATTGGAAGCAGGACCAGGAAAGATTGAAGATTTTCTTAATATTGTCTCTTCAGTAAACGGCGTATTGATAAATTGTAGTTCTACCGGTTTCTTAGTGAAAGTGATAATGAAAATGATATAATAGAATGGAAAACGATAAGTCTACATGACAGAGAGTTATAAAGATGCCCAAGGAACAGCTAGAAATAGGAAACACTTTAAGTGTTTATGTTAATCCCATAGCCAAATATGTCTCTGGCTCTGAAAAAACGAAAGTCTCTTTCATCGAATTCCTGTTAGCGAGCTGTTCGTGTGTGCGCGTGTGTTCGTTCGCTACAGGCATCAATATTATACAGATAGTAGTTATGAGATTTTTGTAAAACATTGCCAAATGTCATGGCATCGGAGACCTCCCCGGGTTGTTACATTCCAATTCCCTGCAATCAAAAGCACCAATATAAGCGCCATGCGGACTTGAAAGGTAGATGCAACACTAGCGCCACTGGTGAAAAAGTCTGATGTTTTATATTGTGATATGGCTGCTGCTGGAATTATTATGATACAAGATTTGAAATTTGTTCTTAAATTTGTAAGGTGATATGTTACAAAGACACTTACCAGTAACAAAGTTGCTTTGAAACCTACATTGTGTAATCCTTCGAAATCCAGTAATTCGCTCTGATAACGACAAATGATTTAATACAGAGAGTGTTTTTGTTCTGCGAAAACGTCAAAGTCAGGCCGATCCATGACGCTAACGTTGTTATAATTGAAATTATTCCAGTACAGCGATGACCTGGCTGGAGGAATTTTTGTTGTGGTGCTTATAAATGTTGGAAATTTCGTTTTTTTTTGTTTAATCTGTTTTATAGTGTAATTTGTGGTTTCTAATAATGCAGTTTAATTAAATTTATTTGAGCTGAGCTCATTCAGAAAAAAAGGCAGTGAGTGACAGATCACCGTTTAACATATGGAATCATAATTTAAGATTTTTGAAGCTATTTTTTTCTGATAAAACCATAAAGCCAAATGGTAAATATATATCCAACCTCTTTCAACAGTCAGTAATTATTTACTCTGTTTATGTGTTTCGTATAATTCTCACCGTAAACAGAGATCATTTCCTTAAACAGCGTTTAAGCATTTGATTTTTTTAATGGTGAAGTATTGTGTTTTATTTGCGGTAAGGACTAAATTCTTAAATGTTATTTAGAAGGGTTTAACGGATTGCGAAATGGCAACCGTTATAGCCCATTTATCTCTCAGTTACAACGCTTTAAACTACTTAACTGAACCCTTTGTAAGGAACACTTAAGTACGCTTATTTTGAACTAAATCTCGAAGTAATAGTGGTGCTTGGATAATAAATTTCGGTAGCTTGAATTATATCAATCTTTCGGATTCTGAAAGATTGCGCACATGAATGAAGTTGTTGATTCAGGAAATGAAATAATATTTATATATCACCAGCGAATAGTCATAATTTGAGTGGATTGTGTGAAAAAAGGAAAAACTCTGTCATGATTGACATCCACAATATTTATTCTGAACTTCCGTGGTATTTAATATAAAATCATCAATAATACAAACATGACGATTGTGCGAAGTTATGAGAATAGAACGAGTCTAGCTCTACTACTAGCTTAGGATTACGTAATTTTTTGATCTTTCAAGAATGTACATAATTTGGAAACATATTATTGATGGAACTTAAAACAGCTATGTGAAGCCCTTATTATACGAGGGTGAGTCAAATGAAAACCGTAATTTTTTTTAAAATTTAATTTATTGAGTGAAAGCGGTACACAACTATATCATTTTTCTACATAGTCTACATTTCGTTCAATACAGGCCCTCCAGCGTTTACGAAGTGTATGGATTCCTCTAGAAAAAAATTCTTGTGGTT